TTTCTAATCTAATCTAATCCTATTATGATCAAGTAGGAGCTTTCGAAACGTGTAAATCCATTCTAAGAGCTAGGCACTGCAATAATTAATTTAAAGGAATCGCTTTGTGTCAGATAGACTCTCATTGCAACTTTTTAAATAGCAACCTTATGTCATAGCAAATAATAGTATAAAATCATTCAAATCTTCCACCTTTTACAAAATAATGAGATTTGCAGATTAATTTCAACGGTTTCTACGCAACTTATGGTAGTTCTAGAACGCCGGTCCGTTGCAGTATGGTCCGTTGTGGTAGCTAAAACTTCAATATAATTGATCATAACACCCTAACACTTCAGCTTCGACTATGTCCCCTGGTTCGCCGAAATTAAGACTGCCTAGATATTTCAACGTCAGTCTCGAAAAGTCTGGACAATGAAAAAAAGTGTCTGGGTTTTGACGTTTAGCGATCTCATTTCTAGTGAGAGATGAGTTGGTCATCTCCCTATCTCTGGAAACGAGTCTGATGATGAAGACGCTATTTAGAGTGAGGACAGACAATGGAGAGAGAGAGGAATATAACTCCTCTACATCAATACAAAACAACTAATGCCTTCCTTACTGTCTTCTCAATATTTGGGTGCAGTCCTCACTAAAGCCACTTCTACGGGCTTTGTTTAAAGTCTTCTGCTCGACGGTCTGATCTCAGTTAGCTCCGATTTCCGCCAAAGGAGTTTCCTTTTTCCTTTCTGAGTTTTCGGGGAATAGCAGCTTTCAAAAGTAGTCCTACCGACAGAGCTAGAGGCCTCAGCGTACTTATTAATCTCTCCCGCTGATACAATCGAAACCTTGTCGGGCGTGATTGGAAAAGCTCAAGCAAATAGTACTTGGTTGGTGTAAAATGACATCACTGCTAAAATTGACAGCTTCTCCATTCAATAAAAATGTATGTCATAGAACTAATGTCAGTTTAACATCATTCAATTTGACACACAAAGTGTGTCCCGAAAGATGCATTTATCCTCTTTCAAACGCACCTAACTTCATATAAATCGGTCGACAGATGTTAAAGTTACAGCCATTGCAATAAAAGAAAAACTGTGCAAATGTTACAAAACAAAAATGATACAAAGAGCCTATATAAAATTAAAGATTTGGGTAAAAGAAAGGTCTATAATGAATTTCATGAAAATCAAGAAGGTGAACGAGTGTAATGAAAAAACTGATTTCTCTCATCAACCACCTTCGGTATTCTTCTGATCTATCACCTACCCTGTATCCAAAAAGTTAGGTTATTTTGAGGATACATCTTGTAATTTAAAAAAAAAACGTGTGCAAAATAAATTTTGCTAAGGGCAAGTAGTTTAGTAGATCTCCTGTGACCTATTACTACGCCCAACGCAATACCAAGGTTTTGTTGAAACCTACTAAAAGTGCTATAACTTGCTAAAGAACAGCGTCAGAAGTATCGAATTTGACAGTAAAGAGGACAGAGGAGAGGGGAGGAAAATTGCTATTAGGTATCGATGCAAAAGCTCATTTTTAGGTGAATTTCCATATCTCACGAATAAATTCTAACTTAATTTGGTGCTTAATATTATCCCGATATTTTTATATTATATATATATATTTTTATATTATAGTGTGAAATTGGGCGAAATCGGTCTACAATCACGCTCACTGTCCTTAAAATAAAATTTTAATTTATATCTGGTTATTTATGTATCAGTATCAATACAGTATATAAATCGTGCACCAAATGCAGATATCGGAATAAATCTTTAACAAATAATGCTAATATATATAATCTAATTGTTTGAAATCGTAGTTTAATTTTCTGCACCCAAATACCGACTATGAAGACCTTTTACCGAAATCGGTCAATCTATGACGTATATATTTATGATATTCAAAGAACTTACTTTATAGAGCAGAGAGCACTTTTATATCCCTGTGCCAGAAAAGGTCAAATTCGTGTATTATTCACCACGCCCCGCATATTTACAATAAGAATTTAAAAATCCGGTTTACTATATATAATTTATATAGTAAATCAGTCAATCTATGAGGTATCTTAATGAAAATCCGAGAGCATCTTTTCACGGTAATAATGTGTTGTAATGCTAAGGATAGAAAAATCGGTCACTACAGCCCCATATACGTAATTTTAGGGTTTTCTTATTTTGGTTGATTTTATAAAATATATATTGGCCAATCTGGGAGGTATCTAAACAAAATTACATAAACGTATGTATGTGTGGCTCTATTGTTTTAATACCAAAAACGTGTAAAATCGACCCACTAAATACCCCATCCTGATACCATATAACGATTATCATTATTCTAGTAGACTCTATACCTATGCCAAGGTTGATACAAACTTCCCCTAGCCAAAATATATCCGATATAGTTATTTCCGACTTTACTGCAGAAGTATGTCTTATATAATCTTCAATGGAATTTAGAGGACAAGTTTTCCTAAACATAATGTAGTTTACCTCTAAATATTTATAAAATTGAGCTCTAAATATAAATGAAATTAACACCTTAAATCCAGATAGATATTGATGTATGTATAAAATATCGGGATGACGAGACGAGTTTAATTCACGACTTCATTGAAAAATTAATTTTGCAACTTTACGCACATTTTTTTAACATAAAGTTTTGCAAAACCTAAAGGTATTTCTCCGTCTTTAATATTTGTAAATTGCGAGGGTATAAATTTTTTTTTGTTTCACATAAATTTCAGTTCCAGTTAGAAATATTTTCAATTCTTATTTTTAAAATTCTTTGTAAGTATCCGTAAAAATATCGCAAAAGCTATCTACGTAGCTAACTAGGTCAATGAAAGTGCGAACCACCCTAATGTGCATACATACCAATGTTAGTGTCAACGATGCTGTATGCTATATACTATTATTGATTTAGGTCATAGCTCTTTTGTTTACTATAAATTATAGATTTACTATAAATTATAGAATATATATATATATATATATATAAGAATTCAATTTGAATGTTCACGAGCATATGTAGAGGCGATGAGAACTCGCCTAAGAGTATGCAAGCTAAATATACAAAAGAGTAAACAATAAGTAGCAATAGAAAGCTTCGAAATTTCTTGCATGGAAGGTGGGCAATGAATGAAAAAGTTCGGAGTTCAACATGCGATAAAAATTGTTTGTCGATCTGAGATAAAAGAGGGAATATATTCAGAAAAAATTTGCGTGTATGTGTTGATGAAAGCACAGTAGATTTATTGTTTTGCATTCTCCCAATATTTCGAGCAAGCGAGTAATTATTTAGCTGTGCGTCATAAAATAGCTCAAGTTGATAACATAATTGATACTTTCCTAAATGGGATGGGATTGAGATCGATACAACATAACAAACAATAATTGTTTTGCCGCTTTTAAAGCCTTTGGACATAAAAGCGAAATTTTTTTTTTATATCGCTTCACGTCATTATACAAGTATATTGTATAACTATACAGGCTTTGATAGTATCGAGAAACTTATCTCTAATTCCAATGACTCCAAAACGACGGAAGGCATTATCCGCCTTGTAATACGCCGCTAGATAATCCTGCTCTCTGTTTTTCCAACTAATTTTTTGTACTTCCACAAAAAGTAATTTAACGGACCAATTTCTTGCTTCATCTTGATGGTACCGGTTGGCACTTATGGTAGACGATTTCTGTCTTAAAAAAGTATTCGCCAGTAATACCACATCAGGAAATGACTTATTTAATATGCTATGGAGACTACAGAGCCTCTTTAAGATTGGTTGCACTAGCAATACGCCAATTTAACTGATTTTCATACCCATTAGGCCAGAAATATACTTGTATATTATATTTAATGTGTCTGAAGTTTAATGTAAATTTAAAGCCTTCAGTCAGTGCTGGAAACTAACGTTGTTCCAGTGTAAATCTTTGCATATTAATTTAACAAAGTATGTCGCAGCTAAACGTCAATCGCAAGCATCTACTTTGATAGCTTGTTTGGCAGCTGTCGTTTTAGAGTTATATTAGGATAGGTTAAATGGTCGATCGTAATAAGGATATCACTTGGACAGCGTATAACCCCGGTTCTGGTACCTAGAATTCCTATAAAATAAATCATAAAGACCTTCGTAAATCGAAAAAGCGCTTTGAACCAATAACAAATTGAGGCGGCCAATTTCGGGTATGTCTCCTGGTTCGCCGAAGGTATGACTGCCGAGAGGTTTAACTTTATTCTTACAAAGGCTGGACAATGAAGGAGAAATAGCCTAGATAATTCCATCTCATCTTCTTCCAAACAACTTTTACAATTTACATCAGACTGAATTTTTAGCCTTACAGCATGAATGAACAGTGAGAACTTTCGTGCCCCGTTTTGCTAACTCATCGGCCTTGCATTTTCCAGAGGTTCCGCTATGACCAAGTACCCAAACGAGTCTGATCATTAAGTAGCTTGATGTTATCTTGTGAGGTTAGACTCTCCTCGACTAACTTTCAGCGCACAGTTTACGAGCTAATATCGCCGCTCTGCTGTTGGAATGAATGCTCACCTCCCTGAAAGAAGCTGTATTCCGGAACAGTAAGTCTAAGGCTACCTTAAAAGCAACCACTTCTGAGAATACACTACCGTAGTCCGGTAGGACTCAAGCTTAGCTTTAGGCATTGGTATGTAAGCGAAGAAAAGCCACCAGTAGTAGCCTCTGTGAGGTAGTGGTCCAAGTTTTTAGGGATGCAATTAATGGAGGAGTGAATTTCAGCGTGGACCCCACCAGCTGCCCTGAGACTTAGAGTGGTCTTTGTAGCAATGCACCTATCGGAAATATCCACGAGTGCTATGGACACGTTCAAGCTTCTTGACGAATGTAGCCTTTTTGAATGCGCGAAACACCATACAGACGAAAACACCATAGAACATTATTGGCTTGACTACGGTTTCTCAGAGACAAAACACCACCTTTGGTGAGAGTCTTGCACCTTTCGGAAATTAAACCTTCTAAAATAACACCCTACAAGTATACTATATGGCATTATATTAATTTATTTTTTATAACTTCTTAATTTATAAAATATTTTCGCGTTCGAAAAGGGTCCTATGCTACAAATATATTTTTACAGATTTATTGTTTTCAGCTTAAATTAGTACAGGGTTATTTGATATCTTATTACATTACTGCAAGCTCTTAACACTCTCATATCTCCACATTACTCTTTAACATATTTTTTTATGACAACAGTTACGTTTATTAAACACAGTAATAGACAGTTTAGGGCCTAATTCAAGGGTCTTAAGTCCAAAATAAATTAGTATGACATGCAAAATTTATTTAAATATTTTACAAATTCTACGCACTAAAAATTATCTCATTTAATTTTTTAATTTTTGTTATACTTTTTAATACTCAATAAATAATTTGGTTAACTTAAGACTAACTTAAACGTTATTTTATAATAAACGCCTACGAAAATAACTATGAAACCTGCAAAAGCCAATTTTTGTATTTGTATGGATTTAAAAATAATTCAAAAAAATAGATTTTCACTTAAATATTGTGCTGAAATATAACCGTTGTGTCGTTGTCTGCGCTGTCATTTAAACTTATTGGAAATTGTGTCATTCTTTTAAAATCATAATTGTATATGTATTGGCATGCGATTGCTTAAGTCCTAGTTTATCTTTCCTATATATAATATGTATATGTCCATTGTAGTTCTAAATAGTTTCTTATTTTTCGTTTTTGTATCACAATATTTGTTTTCAGTTACATAACTTTAATTCCGAAGTAGAAGTTACGCCCAATTTAATTTTACTTATAAAATAAATATCTGCCTTTGTTTAGCAATATTATCCAAAAAGAAGTTTGTCTCAGGCATTAAGATTGTTGAGGTCACCAGTGTTCCACATCTCGAATGCGATTCATGGGTGGGTTACTGAAAGAAGATTAAAAGTGGAATTAGTAAAGCACTGTAAATAATAACTAAGGATAGTCGAGCATGATAGTAATAAGTTTACATTTTTCAACAATAAAAAAACTAAAAGCAACTAACTCAAAATTCATCTTTTTTTTTGCTTTAAAGAGGTATTCTTATATTAGTCTAAACATATTACTCACAACTTAATAGTCTATATTTTAAAATCTAAATAAATAATAACACCGGTCAGCAAAAAAAAATTTATTTTTGTGGGTTTCTGTTTTCATGAAAAATATTCACTTTTAAACATTATCTTTTTGGTATTTTACATTTTTATGCTATTGTGTATGACAAGTATAAAATAAAAAAAGACTCTGATATTCAGCAAAAACGTTTGTTATCATAATTTAAAGTAACAAAAGAATATGAAAATCAATTATTTTTGCTAAAGATTTTAAAATTACTCTTGTTTCTACAAAGCAAACTTTAATGAAAACCAATTTTTTACATTATTTTTGGTATAAGAGATTCTTGAATGTAACATGCAGAAGTCATACCCAAAAATCGTCTGTAATTTCACGAGCGAATGACAAAAACTTTCGTATAGCATGAGAGCAGACTATATAACAGTGGGCTTCACTAATAGTTCTTGTTAGTAAATAATTCTTGTAGTTAAAAAAGCCCAAAGATAAACGGTTATAAGAATATCTGAGATTTTTTTTTTTTTGAATATTTGAAGTGAAAATTTTCAGTAATTTGTGGGATTACTCGGTGAAACGCCCAACTAGATTTAATGAAAACAAAAAAACGTTAGCTTCGGCCGGTCCGAAATAATAATAACTTTTACAGGTATATTTCTTATAGCATAGAAATAAATAAAAAATCTGTATCTTGAACCGATCTGAGCAATTTTTTCAGACATTATAGCGCTATCTTGAGCAATAATCTATATCAAATCTATGGCAAATATATTCTATAGTGGTACAATATTGGACTATTCTTAGGGAGAAAATTGCGTGTGCAAAATTTCAAATTTCTATCCTAAACCTGAGGGACTAGTTCGCGTTTTTTTAGACGGACATGTTTAAATCTCAGCTCGTCACGATGATCAGAGTGTTTTTTTAGACATTTGGTTTTCAAGAAGAAATAAACGCATACACTCGTAATTTAATGTAATGGCCAAGAATTTAGCTTTATTATAAAGATCAAGGTTTGCCATTATGTTTTAAAAATGATTTCTGGCAAGTGACTGCCGCAACTGGCTCAAATAAATTCCAACCCAGAGTATCGATTTTCGACCATTGTTTGCAGCAACTGGGGCTGTATATCAGCAATTATTTTCCAAGGCGTCCATCGTCTCAGACTTATCTGGGTAGACAAGCAACTTCCCATAGCTCCACAAGAAATAGTCCAGTTACCTTTCCCCGTTCGTTTTCCTTACAGCTACATATATCTTCTAGGCATGGTTGATACATTGTGGTTCCTTCAGTTACCAGTTATACCTGTCATATTTACATATCATTCCAAGTTCGTTTTGATAACGGAGTTCTATAATTTAGGTCACGAAAAGACAACAAAGACACTTAAAGGTACACTTTTATCTAGCAGTTATTTTTTATGAGATCTCTTAATTAGAATCGTGAAGGAAATACCAACCAATAACTTCGCTTGCAAATGATGCTGATGATTTAAAACACCTCAAATTAGAAGCTTCTAACATTTAAGAAGACTATAGTTAAAAAGGCGAATTAAGCGTCAACTTAAATTTTTTTTTTAATATTTTTTTTATCAAAGTTGGAACGTATACAAACTACACTACCATAAATGAGATATTAACATCGTTTACGCTGAATACAGTAGAGGTTGGCGATCTTATGTTTTTATTTGGGACATGCTTACGAAAATTATCATACAAAATCTATAAGCAGCTCGTGTGTAGTTGAGGACTTGAGAACTCGGTGCACTCGGTTACGATGATTTCTCTAACTAATTTACTATCCTAACTAATAAGAACTTATTCACTTTTTAATGACTTCAGCTCTCTTCCATCCCATATTCTAATACTTACGGCAGCATACGCGCCAGCGCGTGCTTATGTAATGGCGAAATGTGTATGGCCGCTGATGCTATACTGGAGCCCGACTCCTGTGAAATGGTGCGTTGTAGACGCGCATTTGGACGCGCCGCTTGTATTTGCTGTGCACGTCTGAATGGATAACGCCATGGACTTTTCGGCACGTCCGGTTGGAAGCTTTTATTTTCAATAACACCCGGCACCATAGCACCCGATGCACCAGCACTGACACCCGACGCACTAGAAACGCCAGCAACACCGGCATTACCACCATAATAAGCAGCAGCATTACCATGATCTCGTGCCTTCGACGAGAGACGACGCAAAATACGCGAACCCAATCCTCGTTGATCCTCTAAACCACCGGCACCACCGCCAGCGGTACCACGTTTGCGATAACGCACATCACTCGATTCCTCCAGGATAACATGTCTATCGTAGGGTGTACCGTAATACACTTCGAGCACAGTGGAGAAAGTGTGCGGCCACACTAAGTCAATTATGGATATTAAAACACCACAAATGAAGCAAAGGATACCTGGAAAGAGATAATTGTCAAACCAAATTAAAAAATGATAACAAAAAAAATGAGAAGAAAATGAGAATAAGAAAAACATCACAGTAGCGATTAATTCATTCGACCTAATTGCAATCAACGTTAGTCATACGCAATATGCGCTTACCGGCAACCAGCAAAAGCCAATAACACCAGCCGAGCTTGAACTCCAAGCGGCCACCTTCCAAATAGATGATCAACGGACGCTTTGGCAGCATGCAATAATAGCCAATATTGGTGCCAATGAGCAATGCGCCCGTTAGCGCCTTCATGTAAGCACCGTAACGTGGCACAGCGATAAGCAGCAGATTCATGAGCAGCCATGAGGCTAACGATGCCCACAGCATTATGCTGGCAAAGTAGCCGGCAGCGCGATATTGGCCACCCCAGCAAAAACCCTCGCGGCCCTGACTGAAATATTCCGCCACAGTCAGTATTGGAAATGGAAGGCCACGTCTCAACGCATCGCGATAATTGGCACTCATATCGTTGGCACCCTCCCATCCGAAGCGTTCATTGTAGTCCACATCCGGTGCTGTCCAATTGCCAACCGCTATGGCTGTGCGACGAACACATATAAGTAGCGCAAGGGAGATAAGAGAAAAATAATGGTTTTGATTAGAAACGTGATGATGTTGAAATTTAAAAAAATATAAAGCGGAAGTAGGTGTAAAAATAGAAATTATGCGAAAACCATTAATACAAGTAAGAAATAGAACAAACATTTTTTTTAACTTGCATACGATAATTTAACTGTTACTATAAGATTTTAGTTCATTAAAAAATTTATTCATTTTACTTAAAATCATTAGATCATTAAACTATTATTGAAATTAAACATTATTAAAAAAGCAAGATTTTATTTTGAGCTTTTTTAACTGTTAGCTTTTTAGGAATTTCGCTAAATATCCAATAAATTTATTAACGGTTAAAAATAGATGGTTACGTATTTTAAAATCCAAGCTTTTACTTTGAGTATTTTAGGAATATCATAAAGAATTTGATTATCATCTTAATCCTTAGCTTTATAAACAAGGAAGGGGCAATATATAATATATGCTTAGAATATGTTTATATACATAGTTTCTTAATTTTGCTTTCTTAAATTTTGTGTTATTGTCTGCAAACGAGATTATCATAAAAAACGATTTAATATAATTAAATTTCCGCTTCCGAGTGGTAGTTATCTCACAGAATAATGCGGCAAATGTTATTTTTATGGGAAACTAAATTTACTTGATATTATAAAAGAGAAAGGGAGGCAATTGTTCAAACTTAGTAATTGTTCGAGTCAACAGACATAAAGTTCATCTTCCTTCTTAAATCCCTTTGACTAAATAGAAAATGCTGAAAAGTTTATACTATTAAAGAGAGCTGTGGCTGTAATCAAGACCTGGATCACCAGCTACTGTAACTAAAGTACATTTTACCATATAAGATATCAGCTTGAAATTTTAACTGTAAAACTTCACTATAACATTGTCTAGTAAATCATGTACCATTGTTTGCTAGTATGCCGATATTTTCTGCTAATTTCTTCCGTCAAAAATTTATCATTTTTTTACAAGCCAGAAATTTTGCAAAAATAACTGATAAACAACTAAAGTCGTGCGTTACTTTGGAAGGTCTGAGATAGATTAAGATCCGCTTTTAAATTTTGCTTCAGAAAGCTTAAACAAATTTAATTCCGATTGCTCAGTAGCAGTCATTTCGTATCACAATCAATAAAAAAAAATTTTATGCACACAAATGTCAATTTAAAGAGAGAAATTTAACTATTTTTTTCTTCCTAGCAGAATCAATTGTCAAAGCCAAACCTCTTTGAGTGTTCTAGACCAGGGGTGACCCAAAAATTTAACTTTGGAGCCACAAGAAACATAATATTAATTAACATTACAACAACCTAGTGACTCAGAATGACTAAAAATAGTCGATGTAAAACTATAGTTCTGCTGAAGTAATAACAAAGCAATATACCTATAGCTATGTTAAGTGAATGCGACCCCTGCTCAAGAGTCTAGAGTCTAGACTACCTAGCCCCTATAGTAAAGTAAGAATTTTATATTCAATATTAAGTTCCTCTAAACATAAATATGTATATATGTAGCATATTCCAAATAATAATAAAAATAATTCGGTGGAGCATCTAAACTGTTTATAATCGTATTCCACCTTATTCAATAAAAGTGATCCACTAATCATTTCAACAAGCATACAACTACATCTAAACCAATAATTTAACAAGTGTGTCAAATGACTTACAACATTATATATATACATACATAAATATATCATAAGTGCGTCAGCGTGGAAATGTAAGTCAAGTTCTCGACGACGCGTCAGCGCTGGAATGTATGGCATTTGTACGTAATCCACACAACACATGCAAGTGCATTTGTGCATGCAGGTGTGCGGGTATGTGTGAGTTCAGAAGTAGGCCTGAACTCGAATTACCAATTCGATATGAAGCTAAAAAAAAAACAAAAAACACAGGCACTGGCGTCGGTCGTGTTCGCTTGGCCTTCACAGAAATACAAGGTTACGCCGACAACAACAAAAATTAAACACCAAACCAATCAAGCTGGTGGCAAAGGAGTACTTAACACAAAAACTGCCACCAAAATGGTAACGGCGACGAAAAATAGCAATGCGTATGAACACCAACAAAACCAACCAACGCGTTGAGTAAATATGTATTTGAGTGTGTGTATGTGTACTGTAATGTTTGTACGCAGGTTTGCCAGGCATTAATTTTGTGGCCAACCGGTAAAAATGCGCATACGCGCATGCGTATGATTTGAGGGGAGCGAAACAAGAGCTCACACCGTTCTACGCGCACTTGTAGTGGGGAAAAGCAAAACCACTTGCGCTCTCAACTTGTCGCACACACCTCATCTACACACATATACACGCGCGATTTGTGTTCGAAAATATGTCACATATGTGGGGCTTTAAGTGTTACAGTTGCCGCGTGCAACGAACCACAAACGCCGAAGCGCCAAAACAAATGTTGGTGAAGGTTGCGGTGGCGCGAAGACGGCGGCGGCGCAACGGCAATCAATCGTCGCCGCAGCGTTATTTTCGTATCGGAAGTCATTCAACTGTACTAAGTGGCAGCTTTTAACTATAATTATATGTAAATCTATGCAGCATTTACCGTTATATATTTTTTTCTTGTATTAATCGTGTGTTTGCTTAAATAATTCGGTCGCTTACTAGCTTCAAATCCCACTGCGGTTTAACCATATCGCAGACGACTCTTCCGCAGTGCTTTGCGTCACCAAATCCGCACACTTGTCTCCGTTTTTACCGTACACTTGCCTCTTATGCACTCATTCGCGCGCTACTTTTTACTCACCACTCCACCTCAGCTGCTTAATGTGTTACTTAGCTCATTTTAGTGTTTTTTATACAGAGTGTATTAAGATGGCCACGAAGTTTGTAACACCCGAAAGGAAACGTCGGAGACCCTATAAAATGTGTATAAATATGATCAGCGTGACAAGCTGAGTTGATTAAGCCATGTTCGTCTGAAGATCTGAAGGTATATACGCGAAAAAGTACCTTAGTTTTTGATATATCGATCTGAAATTTTGCACACGTTCTTTAGTATAATAGTCATACAAACTGACCGATCCAACTCAAGTCCTCGTATGGAAACCTTTTTTACCTTTTTTTACAATAGTCGAACAAATTGTTCACATCAAACCATATCAGCATATAGCTTTCATTCAAAATGATCGATCAAAATCAAGATCTGTACCCCTTTTTGGCTATAAAAAATGCACTTGTTATGGGTATATAGCTTCAGTTCAGCCGAAGTAAACTTTTTTTCGGCTCAATTCACCCCAACTTTGTCCAATTGCAACCGCTTTACTTCCAGTGCACTTGGTGGCCCGTGCAGTCAGACCAGCCCGAACTGCTTTGCACTTCAACACACTTCGGCTGAATTGGCAGTGTTATGCGGTGCTATGCGCTCGCTTTTGTTTTCAATGCAAGTTTAACCGGTATTTTTTATATCTTTATTCCGCTTTAAAGCAAAATTTTTGTTGTTTATAATATATTGTTTTTTTTTGTTATTGTATACATTATTTTATTTTTTGTTGTTTATATTATTAAACTGTTTTTCTTTTGCTCTCTGCTTTGTCTTGCAATATGCTCACTTTGCAAAGGCATAACTAAATTTAACAATTTTTCAAAACCAAAAACAAAATCCAAAATAAGTTCTGTAAAAAATTGTACTTAATGTGCTTTTCATAACTCTTACGATTTACAAGGTAATTTATAGTTTATCTCGGGAGCCGCATTCTCAACTAAACGCTGATATTGAAAATAACAACTTCTCGTTCTACAACGTAGTCACCTTGCAAAGCACTTGGGAAAAACATTTTAGCGCAAAAATAGTGGAAGTATTTGAAAATGTAAATTTTTAGCACGAAGAATTCATAGCACGAACTACACGCGATTAGCTACCCTGCAGGAAAACTGTAAAGAAATAAGAGTGAACAGAAATGATAATCATGCCCACGAGTTATTATATGGTGTATTACTAGTTTTCAGCTAGGCTTAGTCGGAAAGGGTCAGATCTGGACTATAAGGCGGATGAGGCAAAACTTTCCAGCTGCTCTTTTACAAATAAGGTTTAACCGGTTTTGCACCAAGAGGCGGTTGTCATGATGGAAAAATTTTGTATCAGGTCAAGTCGCTAATCCGGGCAGTTTTCGACAATCTCTCGGCTCAATTTGATGAGTGGTTATCAATAGCGTTCCTGATTAATGGTTTCACCCGGCTTTAGTAGCTCATAATACAAGACGGCCTTCCGGTTCCCCTAAATACAAGGCGTATGACTTTTTTAATTTTGAAATATCGAAATGGATTAATTTTTCATCCCAAGTCAGAATCCGATACAAAAACGTTTTTTTGTTTGTCGCATTTATGCAGCGTTTCTGACATAAGAAATCGCTTTCAACGACTCTTGGCGAGAATTCATAAATTTCCTTGCTTTTGATAGTTCTGTTGAACGTTTTGACTGCTGACTCCTAAACATTCTGCGAGATCGTTATTAAGTCAGTTCCTCATCCTCAAACCTTTATGGCCGCCCAGGACGTTTATCGTCTTGAAATCCAACACCACCACAAACCATTTTTGCCACGTTCGCTAGAGCATGTTCACCATAAACTTCCACCACGATAGCTTTCGGCTGAGGTTTTCTTCATATTAAAGCAATGAAGAAGAACTCTCCCCAAAAACACTTTTTCAGCAACAAGTTCGACATACATTTGAGTAAAAAAAACATGTTGTTTTTGGTTTTTGAAATTAAACAATGGAATAAAGAGAGTAATGATAGAATCCGTTTCGAGCAAAAAAAATCCAAGTCCAACTCGATAAAATATATGAACATCTGTCATTGTTGTTGTGTTCACACATTGAACAAACAAAGCGAGCGGAGAAAGGGCGCATCGAAGATGGCTAGAACAAAAAACCAATACATATATTTCTTGTAGGGGTAGACATTTTCATACCTAGTTGCACTCTAAAATTATTTACATTATTATATGA